AGAAAAGACGAAGACATGCAATGTGACTTTCACACATGTCGAGTGTTTGTTGGAAGTCACCATGACTATTAAAAGGTTCCAGTTAAGGAATCTGTTGGAAGTCCATCAAATTAATTTCTGGTTAGGATTAAATAAAAGTGTCGGTCTGTTGTAAACGTCATTGTATTTACCTTCTTCTTTCTTGTTTGAATTTTTTATTGTTACGAATGAGGTCCACATCTAAAGGCCGTTGAGGTTGTTATCTAGTATGTCTTACGAGTTGTAACAGAGTGATTGAGATCGGGAAACAAAAGGGAGTGTGAGTGAGTGAGATCACAGTTGAGACAAAACAGAGAGTGAGAGATACATAATTCCTAGGTGAGTGAGTGAGAGTTTCTCGAGGGTTTTACGGTGAGTAATATGGTGTGGTTAATTCACCCAGCTTAGTGAATCCCAAGGTTTTCTTGGCCAGACGTAGAATTGTGGTTTCCATATGATCTGGATAACATTTTGTTGTGTTCTTCGTCATAGTTTGGATTAATCTTCTCTTTAAATCATCTAATCAAATCAGACACTATCTAATCGAATAACAAACAATACCACTACAAGTGGTATCAGAGTTGAAGAAATTATCAGAAACTGAAAGATCAGAGTGCCAAAAATGAATTTTCAGATACATAATCACCGAAGAAGGTTGATTCATCAATTTCAGAGAAAGAACGAAAGGTACAAAGTACTATCAGAATGAATGCACTGATAAGATCTTAAGAAAGATTGTGAAAAAGAAGTTTGTTGCTGGTATGCTTAAGATCTTAGATGCTCAGTATATGTCTTTGTCTCTGCCAAATTGAATGTATCTGATGCAAGGTTGTATTGTTACAGAATAAATGAGTAAATGTGTAAGCACAAAGATGACACCACAATAAAGTAATTTAGAAGATAAATCAGAGAGACAAAACATTACAAGCATACGCTATGATTTATTAGAAATCACCTTTAAACAATCTTACAAGACCTTGTTTATTAATCTTTACACGTCTATTCTTAACACTCTGCAGAAGGATTCCTAACCTACCTACCAAACTTTGTCTCTCCCTTGCCTGATACGTCAGCAACTGCTTCAGGAAACCAAGAACAAGTACAAGAGCTTCTCTCTCTCTCTACAAAATCAGCATGAGTGTCGTTGTCTCTAAATAGACGACCCCATAGCTATTTTATAGTTATTCTCCTAACCCCCTTTTCCAAGACAACATGGATATGGACATCTTCCATAACAATAAGTCCAACTTTCCTTTTCCTGAAATTGAACTTATTCCTCTTCCTTTAAGTCATAAACTTATTCTTCTAACCTTTTCCCTAAGAAACACACTTTCTCTTCATGTCTACACGAGTCCAGATCGGTATCTTTAGTCAAGCTTCTTGGCTCCACATGGTCTACACCACTCAACAAGTTGTCTACGTCAGAAACTACGTCATCGACTACTTCAAGATAAGCTATTGACATCTACAAGCTACTGCTTGCATCTTCAGCAAACTACTTCAAGGCAGAAGTTCATGGAGTTGTTTTGTGATTTTCAAAGTGCGCTGGCTTTAGCCAGGAACTTTGGCCAGGAAAAACGTTCATCATGAGAGAACGAAACATATGGCAGTGAAGCTAGATTTTCTAATGGGTAATGTTGAAGATGGTGAGTTGCAGGTTTTAAAGGTGCATACGAGTTAAAACTCTGCATATTTTTTCACCAAGTTACTTCTAGTATGTAGGTTTATGAACATGTTAAACCTACATGGAGTTTCTGCTAACTAAAGCAGAAGAAAATCGAGGACATATTTCATATAAGCTCACACAAGGTGGAGTTTGTCGAGTGTTGATTGAAATTCACCATGACAACCAGAAAGTTCTGGTTATGGAATCTGTTGGAAGACCATCAAATTGAGTTCCGGTTTAGTATTAAATCAATAAGTGTCGGTCTGTTTCAAATGTCACCGTATTTATCTTCGTCTTTTTTGTTTAAATTTTTTGTTTGTTAAGAGTGGGGTCCACATCTAGAGGCGGTTGAGGTTATTAGTATGTGTGATGAGTTGTAGCAGAGTGATTGAGCTGGGAAAACATAGGGGAGTGTGAGAGAGTGAGATCACAATTAAGATAAAATGGAGAGTGAGAGATACAGAGTTCTCTAGTGAGTGAGAGAGTGTTTCTCAATTATTTTCTAGTGAGTAATACAGTGGTGTTAGTTCACTGAGTGTAGTGAATTCTAAGGTGGCCTATGCTAGACGTAGGATCGTGGTTTTCGTCTGAACTGGAAAACATCTTTCTGTGTCATCGCTTTAGTTTGGATTAATCATTCCTATAACTCATCAAATCAAATAAAAAGCCTTCTAATCAAGTGACAAACGATTCCACTACAACACAGTCTATGGAAATTCGACCACAAAGTGATTAAGATGAAAGTTACCCTATTTAAGATTTATAAAGTAAAACGAAAACTAGGAGATCTCAACATCGGTGATCCAATGACATCAAATAGGATTGAAGAAGATTTCAGATACACCTAATTCATCTGATCGTGGCTAAAAGAAATTTTGGATCTGTTTGATCATTGAAGGATGAAGATGCTATAGAGAAACAATGAGGTGTAACAATTAGTAAATACTTTGGGTCTTAGTCCGGATTCTTCCTTTTGCAATTCTATAGGGGTGTTCAGAAATTGTTAATATTGTCTTGATCTAGTTGTTGAATTGTGTTGATGTGATAAAATGCTAGAATCTAATTGTTGATTGTGCAGATATGACAGTTGGAACCTAGACAGTGATAAGTTGTTAAAGGTAAACCAGTTGTATGACACAGACGATTGTGATATTGATACGTGGAAGAATGTGATACTGAGAACTAGGCATGGGAGTTTTCAGTCCAAACCGAAGCTCTGAGCTCAACTCGAATCGAAAACACCGATACCTCATCTTAACCACTATACAAAAATATCCTAACGGGACTTACGAGTTTGGTACTTTGGAGTTCTGTTACAACATGAATCGGACCGAAATCCAAACTAAGATCCGAAAATATCCAATATTCAATAATATGTTAATTTTTTTTTCTTATATATTAAGGTAATTTCTATATTGTAGTGTATCTTAAAGATTTTTGTAGTTTGTGTTATTTGTATTTTCAAATGCACTTTAGTTATTTAGGTTGTTTAAATAGTTTTTAACTAGGTTTTGACTATATATTATGAGTAGTTTTGTTAATTTTGTAAAGTTTTTTAAAAATATATTTTTGGGTGATTCCATACATTTTATAATCCGAACCGAATCTGACATAAACTGATCTGAACACACTCGTAAGTTATTAAAACCCGAATTGGACTAGTGAACATAGTAAGAATAAATTAAGTTATTGTAAAACATTTTATTTTGGAATTGTAAAATATTGAAATGGAAAATGGTCAGTGTTAAAATTGTTTGTAGATACAATAGATGGATGTTACAGAAAAAATAAAACTGTGTGTAATAGATTGTTCTCTATATGGGATAAGGAAGAGAAGACATTCAGTAAAGTTTCACTACCTGGTTTTGGAAAAGAGTCCAAAATTGATAAAAAGTTTTATGATCTTTTAACTTTTTGGTTCTTTACATAACTACAACATTTTCAATAAAAAAATGCACTTGATGTAACTTAATCTTTTGATTTAACAAAATTTAATATTATTCCAAAATATTATTTCAAAAAATAAAATCTGTAAAAAAATGATTTCCAAATATAAAACTAGTGTGTTCAAATAATATATTTTTAGTTAAATATGTGTATCGTTTACGTCATTCTCCAAAACATTACCATTACTCTAAGAGAAGTTTACTAAAATGACACAAACTTATTGTGTTATTATTAGAATGACTTATATTTTTTGAAAATTACTAAAATCTTTTTCTGGTCAAAATTTTCCATGCCCAAAGTTATAATAAAAAAATATTATCCAATTACCCTTATCATTTGTTCGTCGGCAGATTTATTAAAAAACAAATAAATCTATCGAGTAATAAATTTATTAATAAAATCTTTTTTAGAAAAAAAATTTACTTTTAAAATGGTGTCAGATTTCTTTAGAAACATAAGATTTTTTTCCACAGGAGAGTTTATATTTTACTATTTGAATATAATTTTTTTTTTAGGAATATGACTTCCAAATGAGGTAGAAAATTTGCTATAAATGGTAGATTTTTGTGGTCAACTTATTTTCTTATGTTTGACTAATTTTTTAATGGCAGATAAATATATTCAACTTAAAATAGTTGGTAAACTATTTATTTTATGTGGTGGTGAATTTTATTAGGTTATGGTGTGGCAGATTTGTTGACGGAAATCTGATTTATGTTAAAAAAAAAAACTTAATTTAATGTTCAGTTCGACCTGGTTTTATTAATTTTGAATCTGATTTATTATTAGGTTAATAAAGATCATAATTAGGTAAATTTTTGGTAACTGTTGTCATATGTTTCATCCCCTTTTCTTCTTTATCAAGTTCTCCCCTTTCATGGTGGTTTAACCACTTGTTGCCATTCTTATTGCTTGCAGAAAACTAGATCACATCATTTTCGTCTCTGGAAAGTGGAAATTCGAAGAAAAAAGAACTGGTTATTTGAAGTGTACAATCATCAAGATAGTAAATTATTTACAGCTAACGAGGAAACTAGATATAAGGATTTTTCTGAAAATCATATATGAGGATTGCAGAGCTGATTTTGGAGAATAGAGTTGGCGATGACGGTATATATAAGCCTAGCTTGTTTTTTTTTTCTTTCCTATGAAGATAACAGCTTTAAAATGATTCTTACAGTTATATATAATCTATCGAATGCCAAATCCTGACTTTGGTACATATATAAATTATTCTTTTTTGAAAACTTTCAACTATGTTGAGTTTAGGGTTTCGAAGGATGAAAGCTGACGAGTTTGGGTATGAACATTAAGGAAACAAAACACAAACCTTTCTTGGTAAAACAAAAGTTTTGCAACAGAGAATCAAGGAACAAAATCCCTATCTTCCCTTCAATTCTTTCATCCTTTCTTGGCTTATAAGACACAGCTTACACGTCTGCTTCCATTGAACGCTCAGCTCTGAGCTTACGGTATATTAGTCCTTATTTCATGTGTTTGTGATGGAAACTGAGTTGAGTTTTCTTGTTGGTCTATGCATCACTTTGGGATGAATGAACTTCCTGTAGAAGAAGACATTGAGCAGGAAAGGTCTCTTGTGCGTGTTTATTCTTTGCTTGCATGACTCCATGTTGGGTCTTTTCGCTGCTTCACCACCTGATCTTCGAGTCCGCGCTGCTTGCACAAAAAGACTCCTAAAAAATCCATCAAAAAAGTATCTTTAAGTTGCCCAAGAGATAAAGAACAAGCTTTGTAGAGAATAAACTCTTAAGCATCAATGGCAGATGGATATAAGTGTTTATGACAATAGAATGTGTGACAGAGACACAAACCAAGATAGGCCACATTTTTATTCACATCAAGGACGACATACAAACAAGAACACAGTGGTTGTGTACAGACAACAAGAACACAGTGGTTGTGTACAGATAACGCAATAAGCTAAACAAGAACACACACTAAAACAAGAACAGAACAGCAATTACCTTAATGAACAAGAAGCTCAATATACAGAGAAAAACACACTCTAAGCTACAAAAACAGAACAGAACCAAGTGTTTGTGTACAAACAGAAGGGTTTACCTTGTTGACAATGTGAGATGAGATAATGATGGAACGAGTTGGCCGAGTCAGACTCGTGTCAAAGAGGACGAACGAGAAAGTTAATGAGAACTTGCAAGACATCTTCATCGAGCAGTTGGAGAGTGAGTGGGACAGTAATTGATCGGATAAGGTTCCCTCGGAGGCTCTCGATTCTCCGTCAAGTGTTAAGTTTTTGCTTCTGCAAAAGTACAAAATTCAATTCCATTTTTTTTGTTCACACATAATTCAATTCCATTATTTGCACCAAAACGCTATACGATGATCATTAGCTAAGATCTCTATTAAGAAAAATATGAACCTTTGTCAACATCAAATCAATCAGATCCAAATTGAAAGGCTTTTGTTTTCAGAAGATAATTAACCAAAGGAAAAAATTAAAAATGTAGCCAAACAGTAAATCTAGTTAACAGAGAATAAATTTGGATTACCAAAGATTCATGACTTACAGATGTTTGAACCGAGTTCGGTCGGCAGCTAGTGAGAGAGATGAAACTCATCAGTGGGTTATTTCAAAGGTGTTTATTAAATGATGAAAGAGGTATGCCGGTTACAAATAGGGAAATAAGCGGTAGAAACAAGCCGGTGCTCGGAGAGCTGGCCGGGAAAGTACAAGTCAGCGTGAATACAAAGGAAGTAAAATCCTAATTCTAGCCACAAAGTTTGTGTATATTTTTTGTGATGTCTTGTTCCTTCTTTCTCCCTCCTCCTTATATAGCTGATCTCGTGCGGATGCCCTAAGCCGGTCCGTCCTAATGGGCCTTTTGGATAAGGCCGAGTTAGTGGGCCGTTGGTCAAGCCGCTGAACCGCTAGTCGTCTGTCGTCATTCCTTCGGTCGACTTAAATTCAGCTTCATCGGCTTAAGACTGACGTAAGGCTCTCTAAACGTTTCAGCCGCTAGCCGAACAGATAGAGAAAATCTGATTGGGACATACCTTTTATTTGCTGGGCCTTGTGGAGGGTGTAAATCCACCTCATACAGTAAGTCCCCCCAATTCACTTGTGAACGGAGTCAACATTCTCAATGAATTTGTGAATAAGGCTTGAAGAATAGGTGGCTTTGGCTCGTAAGGAGCAATTCGTCGTTAATTGATTCCCGTTTTGTCGATCGGATGGGATTACTGCATGCATTTGCATTTCGGTCACTTTTTCATGCGACTTATCGATCTCCTTTGATCGGTAGAAATCATGATGACCGGTTAAGCTTAACAAATTGCTCGGTTTATAGCGGGTTATGGCGGTCTAAGTTGGGAAATTGAAGTGTCGCTAGTGAACATGGGCAATTAAATGGTTATGACGCCCATTTTAGGCCAGACTAGACTTAATTAAGACGGCTCGGGAAGTGCGCATCACTTCTCTTTATAAATAGCCGCCTCTGCCTCTGTCATTCCCACTTCTTCAGCACCCATAGGTACTTTCTCTCTCTACTCCCTCAACTTCTCTCTCCAGGTTCGTCTGTAGGACATATAGATTTCTTTAAGGATGGCATCATTGAGAAGGAGACTGACCCCCGAGGAAAATGGAAAGTCGATTGCTGCTGCATCCAGTCCTGTCGATGGTGGGAACAGCGACGAAATTCCACTCGACCAGTTCGATGAGATTCATCGATAGGAGATAATGGATACTATCAACATGGACCTTCAGCAGAGAATTTTAGTCGCGCAGGCGGCTCAACTGATCAGGAGCGAAGGTGAAGGCCGCGAAGCGACTAACGCGACCGGTCGACAGACTCGCCCTAATTTTCATGACTTGCTACTATCCGGGTTGGATATTCGACAAGCTTCCGGCCGTTCCTGCTGCACTGCTTCGTCCTGTGAATGGTAAGTGGTTTTAAAAACGTTGAACCCAACTGGTCTTCCGTAGCTAATGTGAAGTAGTTGCTTAGGAATAATCGTGCTATTGGTGTGACTTTCCTCATTCCCACGGAGGATCAGCGACCGTGGTCCCCTCCAGTAGGGTATCAGTGCGTGATACCATGATTTTGACCCACTTTTAGTCATGGTATATTGGTGTTTTTATAACTATTATTATTTTATAGAAGCTTTTAAGTGTATTTATAGGTTCAGGAGTTGTTTGGAAGAAAGTGATGTTTTTGGAGTATTTTAGAGAGAATAAGAGAAATCACTCGATTTGGGAATCAAACAAGACAACGAGGTCGACCCAAAGTGATTCACGTCGATCAATATGCACACATCAGTACCGATCAATGCCGAAGGCGCGGAAGACCAATTCAGTAGACAGCGGACTTGAAATCCAAGAATTCACCAAATTACAATTATTCCCCTGGCGAGTTTTAACCTAAGTTTATATATTTTGCCAAAGTTTTAGAGGAAGAGGGAGATTTCTTGTATTATTTTTACACAGAAAAAGGATTTTAGGACTTATAGTTTGGGAAAGAAGATCAACAGAGAGATTTGTGATTGGAACTCCATTGATTTATGTTTATCTACAATTATGCAGTTTTATTATCTTGCTTGTATTATGATTTGCTTAGCCATGTCTGAGTAATTCACTTGTTAGGATTAGGGTATAAATAGGTTAGTGGGATTAGCCCCAACTAGAAGATCTCTTGTTGTGGTATTCATTAATAAGATGTTCGTATTGCTTATGTTCTAGACTTGCTAACTAGGAACCTAAATCTAGGAATTTTAGATTGTTTAAGCAACCTTAGACAACTATGATTATCCAAAATACATCTTATTAAGCTAGGATTTTTACTATAGAGAAGGCGAACACTTGATTTAGGGGGTCCATAGTGAGTATAAATTAACTCGTGTATAACGCTTGACTAGCCGCATCGATCGATATTTCCACTGGAAATCGATCGACGTTGAGTAAAGTGTATCGATCAATATTCCTATAGGATAATCGATCGCCACTGTTATTGATCGGACATTCTTGTTTGGGTCAATAACAATCTAGTCAATAGGCTTATTTACTAAGAAAAAGTTTAGTAAATTTGTTATTAAGATAGTTAAGCTCTTTAATACCATGCAAACAACTAATTAGCACCTATATGATTATAATCTCCAACACTTGAATAAAAGCCCTAAGTCTAACACTTTTCCAATTTAGTTCAAAACCTCATTCCATTTTGTTGAGTAATTGTTTTGCTCAACTAGAATATTTAATATTTCATGTTTACTTGTTTGCTGCAATTTTACAATTAATATCAACCTAGTATTGTTACTTGATTAGATTTAAGTGGTTCCCTAGCTCCTTGTGGATTTGATTCCTAAGTACTACAATATATCTCTTATTTGAGAGAGTAAGTTGATCATTAGGATAATTTGAGCACATATCAAATTTGGCACCATTGCCGCGAGCTTTGATAGCCATTAGATTTAGTCTAACAATTCTAGGTTTGTCTTTCTCTCTTTCTTTATCATCTTCTGATGCAAACTTTTTTCTTGATTTTTTAGGCGTATGCACAAGATTACCAGAAGCAACCAGGAAAAACAACCTCAATTTTCAGAAGACCCAGCAAGCTTAGAATGTTTGATCTGCAAAGACCTACTCTCCACATCGATCGATAGCTACACTCGGGTTTCGACCGATTCTCATCAGACGACAACAGACCTCGCTCTCACATCGATCGACAGCAAAAAATCTTCATCGACCAATTTCATTCACTTGACATCGATAAATACCATACATCGTATATCGATCAATACTCAGCCGCGAGACATGGTTGCGACTCTGATATTTACTCCTGAAGAGAATGGAGACCTGCATGACCAGGAAGGTTATCTGCGTAATGCGAGAGGTCAGAAACTAGATAATCAGGGGAATTTATCCCTGAAACTGATACTGATGAGGCCACTCGACCCAAGACCTTGGCAGACTACAACCGTCCAGACCAATATTATGCCAACATGTCAGCTATTCATCTTCTAGACGTCCAGAGGGAAAAATTCTAGTTGAAACCCCAGTACTACTAACTTGTGGCACATATACCCTACTGTGGGTTGCCACATGAGCATCCCATGGACCATCTTGAAAGGTTCGAAGATCTTATTTCTGCTATTAGAGTTAAGGGAGTCCCTGAGGGTTACCTACTTTGCAAGCTCTTAAAGTACTCACTTGTTGGAGATGCTGCGCATTGGCTCAAACAGCTACCACCAGGATCTCTTACATCCTGGGCTGATATCAAGAATGCGTTCATGCGCAATTTCTTTGATGAGGCACGAGCTGAAGAACAAAGGAGCAAGATTGCTACCTTTACACAGAAAGCTGGAGAGTCCTTCAAAGAATCTTGGATCAGATTGAAGTTCTTCCAGCGCGACGGCCCACTCCATGGATTCAATGAGGTGCAGCTACTCAGCATTTTCTTTAGAGGAGTTCCTTTGAAGTATCAGATGGCTCTTGATACATCAAGCGATGGGATCTTCAATGCAAGGAATCTAGAAGAAGCTATGAGACTTATTGAGAATCTAGCAAACAGCAGCAGCACCAAGAACACTGATTTTGTAGCATTCCTTGGGAAGGAACAAATGGATTGTCACATCCCCAGACTTGGATAAGTCCTCCAGGATGGGCCATGGTTTGAGGGAACAAACCAGACAGGTCATGTGACCTAAAGACAAGCATTTCATGGCCTAGAGGGAAGGTTAAGTGCATTAGAGGCTAAGACTTAACCAAATAAGGAAAGATACAAATATAAACCAGTTGGAAAAGTGATACGGCAGCTTGGTTAAGTTTTCGGGAAGCTCGGTCAGCTAAACGAGGTAAGAATTAGCTCGGGCCAGCTCGCACTGAGTAGATCCATCTCCCTGAGCTGGACTACTAGATCACTAAGCTTGCCCAGCTGGGGATCAGCTCATCTCAGCTGGATGGAGTGTTAGAGTCTTGGGCAGTTGGACCGGTCCAAGCCATGGTCAGGTCAGTCGGTTGGGTCTTAGGGTCCAGCTGTTGGCCGATGGCTTGGGCAGTCAATAGGCACAATCCATGGAGTCTAGGAAGGGCCTAGGCCCATGTCTGATCTGCCAGAGGGAAGT